GAATGATGACTTGTTAGGAACTATCGAGCATTACGAGTTGGATAAGAATAATATCGTTTTCCAACAGGATAACGATCCGAAGCACACGGCTAATTTAATGGAGCAATGATTTTACGATAATGATATTGAGGTATTAGAATGGTCACCACAATCTTCCGACCTCAACCCTATGGAGATGGATATATGTTTGAGAAGGTTAGAAAATCCAGTTCATACTCAAGATGAGTTATGGGAAGCTATGGATAGAAACAGATCATAACTTTTTAACTAGTCTAATTGAAAGTATGCCCGAAAGAATAAATGATGTAATTGAAGCTAAAGGAGGGTATACAGCGTGGTAAAGAATAGTTTTTTAAATTTCATAAATTTTTAGTCGTTAAATTATTTGCATCATAAACAGTAAAAAAGAACGTATCATGTAAAATTGCGTCGATCATTATTATTCAATTTACTGATTATTATTATTAACTAAATAAAGAATTATATTTACATGTTTTGCAAAATTTGGTAAACAATATGCGTCGGAATTTGCGAGTTTCAGATGTAACGATAATGTTATTGAATTTGCAATTTTATTTTTTGTGATGCAAAACATTTGACGGTCACTGTATGGGATTACTCCCCTTGCAAAAACTTGGAACGAGACGCATGTGAATATAGCATATCGATATATCGTAAAATTTTACTTGTGTAACAAGATGATTGGCTTTTACCGTCATTGTCATGTACATGTACATGTATTCTCAATTTTCTCGATCAATCATCAATTCCGGCCAAAATTACAGAAAAATCTGATACATGTACTATGAACTGAATCATAATTCGAATTAAATTCGGATATTTTGAATATTCAATTCTGGAAAAACAATCCGAATTGGTTAAAATTCGAATTAATCCGGATTCGTTTCAAAATCGAATATTCGAATGTAAACTCTAAATCGAGGTTACGTAGTTATAATAGCGATAGCTGTAATAAACAAAAATCATGTGAATACAAAAGGACATTATATTGGATTTTTAAACGGCGTTAAGACTAATAGTTTTTTATATAAAAATTTATTTAATGTCTTATTATATTATTTATTTTGTCATTTAACATTTTAACATGGATTAACTTTAAATCAAAGTTCTATCAAAAAATGAGAATACGTCGCGCCAAACTTTGATTTTACACACAAATTTCAAGTATATTGTCATTTTTTAATAACATTATCAGACATCTGACTTTTGAAGAACCGTATCTGAATTCAAACAATCCGTTTCGTTGATATTGCTGGTGATATTCCTGCTGATGATTCAGATTTTGGTAGGACTCGATGACTAGAAGTGTCTTGATGCCACTCCCGTGAAAGTCTTCCTGATGACCGAGATTTTGGTAAGATTCGTCTTTGTGAAATTCTTGATGATTAAAGTGTCTTGATACTGCTCCTGGTGTAAGTCATTCTGATGACCAAGATTTTGATAGGGCTCACTTTGTCGATGATTAGAAGTGTTTTGATACCACTATCCGTGTAAGTCATCCTGATGACTTAGATTTTGGTAAGACTCGTCTTGGTGAAATTCTTGATGATTAGAAGTCTGACTGTTGATATTCTTGATGATTAAGATTCTGTCTTGATGATTAGAAATGGTTTGATACCATTCTCCGTGTAAAAAAATCCTGATAATTAAAATTTGGGTAGGAGTCGTATTGATGAAATTCTTGATGAATCTTTTTAATTCGGACGAAATTGTTTTGTAGGCTTTTTTTGATCTGCAGATAGCATTTTTCGATAATAGCTTGCTAAGAGAGAAACTTCAGTAGCATCGTTTTTTTGAAGTTTTGCCTCCTTTATTTCTGCTGCGAAACACGCTCGAAATATCATGAATGAGTTTGGTGTTTTATTTTGTTTTCCACCATCTCTTTTTTCTTTTAAGCAATATTCTATTGGAAGGCAAGCTGGTATATATATGGTATATAAAGACACTATAAGCCATCAACTTAAATTCAAACTTTAAGGTCTTATAACTCGAGCTCAAAACCAAAAAGCAAAATCTGGTTGCGGTGAATTTAGTTCATCTTCCTAATAATCGTTTTCTTGTAGCATTACTATTGCCCGATTTAGAAAGGTAAAAAACCATACAATTGAAGGAATATTTGCATAATCTTTGTTCTATCAGAATTACAAAATGAAGGGCTAAAAAATTAGGTTTTTCGTTTCACAGAAAATTATAGATGTTCTCGTAATACGTACCTGGCGGATTATGAAAGTACTATTGCTACGAAAATTATTCATTCAGAAAAAACTCTATCGCTATTTGTGTTCCCGTTATATTTTTTATTTGTTCCAAAAATACATGTTTAATGAAGATAATGCACATATTGACATCTGTATCGGTGTTGTTAGATTAGCGTAACTTGTTGAAGTTGATATATATGTGCCCTGACTATCAATTGCCCCAATTGTCAATTCGGGTAGCCCAAATCACAATTTCATATTAGATTAGTTTGATTTTGTTTTTGGAATTTGGGGAATAGCAAATGCGTACATGTATGTTGTGCATCGGTTGACAATTAGCATCAGACTTTCTTCATGTCGCATTCTTTAGCACTTCTCATATAAGAGGCACAACAGATTACACGACTTGTGTATACATTTTTCAAGTATTAACGGGATGCATTTGATTTTTATTACATGTATATGTAAAGTTCTTTATATTTTATGAAATATATTTTCAAATAATACTTCATATTCGCGGTTCGAAGAAAATTAATTTTTGTAAGCCTTATTCACTAGATTGTTTTCAATACAGTTGTACCGCCATATAATTACATACAAAAAAGTGTGATTTTAAAGAAGTTGTGACTATATAGAGGTCAAATTTCCTATAGTATCGTATAATTCATATTGGTACATACGTACTAGCCAAAGTTGTGATTGTAGGTGATTATATTGGATGTGATTGTATAGAAGTATGATTGTACATGTAATAGAAATTACTACATGTATTTCACCAAGCACTTAGAATTATAAAATATCGTACAAATTCATAAAATGAAGATAAGTTCTCAAATGCGTACTTGTTCTTAGCACAATCCCATTCTACCCTGTTTAAATGCTTCTCGATCGTAATTATTCTTAAAATCTTTAAGAGTCTCATTAAGTGATTTTATCAGCATTCATTTTTATAAACCCGAAAGTGTCACAAAAATTACAAATTCAAAGTAAAAAAAAACACATTATGAAAATATTACATAGCAATAGATTAACTTGATAGTCTAATTCTTGCTACCCAAATTTTTTTATCAAAAGAATTTAAAGATTTTGTACTTGACAAACAACAAATAATTTTTCTATAGGTTGTAGATATAAAGATAATGATAGTGACTTGATTACAAGAGAATATTTATGTTTGAACTTTTCTCAGAAAAGATTATCAGTCAAAATTACAGAATTTTTTAATGGATGTGATGCATATTTTATTTGCTGCGCATGTTTGAGTGTAGAATTGTGCAGTTAGTCGACTGGTAAAAAAGCTTTGGGCTTCAAGAAAACATTATATCAAAATGTTCCAAGAGCTGAAAGAGCAGATTATATTGCAAAGACCTACATAAATTATTCAACAATAAAATTTTCTTTAAATTTGACAGATTTTCCAAATTCTCCTTCTGAATATGTGAACGACCCATTTGATTTACACGGATACTTGCAACCTATTTCCTTAACCGATAACATCATTCCTTTCAATATAAAAAGTTGACAATGTATGAGAAAAAGTCAATTTTTTTAAATTTTATAAAAATCGAATTCTTGACTAAAATAAAAGACAAATTGGAAATATAAGCTCCACATATTATTTGAAGAACTGAGAAATTGATTAAGTTTTGGCTTGTTTATAAACTGTGTTCTTTTATCTATTCTATGTGTGTAATTTCTTAACTCATTAATATATAAATTCAATAAACTTCTTATTAAGAAGTATGAATATGTTCAAGTGGGCTTATTATATCATATTCACTCGTTCAATTTGGATTAACTTCTTAGATAAGAAGTTTATTGAACTTATAAGATACATAATCACTCGCGATGTGACGAATGTCGTGGGCTGACTGACTGAATTTATTGTATTGGAATTCATTATAAAAATAATAAATCATTCATTGCAGTTACAAACGTTACATCGAGAGTGACTACATATGTACAATCTATTAATGTGTTTAGATGTTATAGTTAAGTTAATAATTAAAAAAAAACAACTATAATTTCTTTTGACCAATTAAATAAAACGTTCGTTATCGTGAGCTTTCGACAGTGAAACTTGAGCTCAAACCAGTATATGATAAATTCTCTCAATTTTCATACACATTAACTATAACAAGAGTGAGCTGTAAATAGAAAAATAATCAATGAGTAATATGATCTCACTTGGTAAAAAGTTATTTATAGTGCTACATAAGAAAGCAGCGCAAAAAATAGCAATTGAGATGAGCAAAGTGTACAAGATATTATTGTTTTGAGAGAAGATAACATTTGATAGAAAATATTTATTAATAGTATCATACAAAATTTCAAAAGTAAAAAATTTAGAGTCATATCATACACAATCAATACCTGCGTAGTTATTGTGAAAAGGCATGAAAATCTAACCTTAATAAGGTGATACTCGCTATCGTTATACTCATACACTGAAGTCGCATCAATTCTATTTTTGACTGCTTACATTAACGTTAAAGAGAACAGAATAATCTTGATTAAATATTTAAAGTTTTTCTGAGCATTAAATTCAAATATCAAATAAAACAATGTAAAAAATCATGTTTGTTAGATATTTGACCTGTCATTTAGTAATTTGAAAATATAGCAGTTTGACCGAGAAATTGAAAATTATAAATACGGGTATTTGCAAGTTTTTATTCATATATCGATATTAATACGTTTTTAATGATGCTAATTTTCTATGCTTTGCAATTTACAAATAATGTTCCTATGAATTTTTTTATCTTTGTCGGCTGCACAAAATTTATTTAAAGACTTTGAATAAATTTTTTTATTCATGCAAATCTCATAATGTAATAAAATACATGTGCGTATACATGTATCATGTTACGTACGTATATGCATTATGCATTCCAATTGGATTCAGAAAACGGGGGATTGTGTTTCAGAAAAGTACGTATTATTATTAACAAACAGAAAACTAAATGTAAATATTGAAAATATCAAATCTTACCATTGCAAGTTTTAGTTTAATACTAATATTCATATTCGATCATATTATATGGAGAGTTTGTTATGCTTTTTGACATTTTCAGGCTTGGATTGATATTTCTTTAAATTCTGCGAAGAATAGTATTTTCAATACTTCATAAATTCGTCAGTGCTAACAACTTTTAGATCAACAGTCAATTTTTTTGACACCGTTGTAGAAGTTCTCAAAATATTTTATCTTAAAATAAAAATAACAAAAATTATGAATATAGTCCCGCTTATTCAACAAATTATTATTAATAATTATAATCTAAATTTCTATTTTTTTTTTAGTACATTATTTTATATTGTTTATTCTATGTTTATTTTTTAGAGCGTTTGAAGAACCTTTCGAACATCTGAATGGGTTTCTTCTAATTTCCAGGCGATGCTGGATTTGGCATCGCGGCGAATCTTTTTTATGAAAGATGATTTTTGTGCGTCCATGCCCTGAAGGCATTTGCACATACCAATGTACAGTGTAATTGCTGGTGCTTGCGGAAAGCCTCTGTTTTAATTTTTAATAATAATAAAAATATAAAATTAGCAAAGTAATTAAAAGAAATAAAATTCAAACTAATCTTAAAAGATATTTACCGTAACTCTACAAACCTATATTTCATAACTGCATTCGCCAGATTCTTGATGTTTGTCTCTTGATTGCCCAACATCAACAGTCCCTTTATACCCGCCATTAAAAATTCTCCTTCTGGGCGTGAACACGATCCACCAAAATGTTTTTCCGCTAACTGATTTACTTTCCTTCTTTCAATCTCCTCCTGATTTGTGAGATTTGGTAGTGGGTCAGGTTGTGTGATTGACTCAATTTTTATTTTTTCTGTTCGCTGCCTGGTAACTCGATGATTTTCGGTAGAATCGGGTACATATTTTCTTTTATTTTTTCTAGCAACCACTTTTTGTTCAGTTATAGATTCTTCGGCTGCAACAAATGTTTGTGGTAGTTGTGGAGATAAAATCGGAAGAGACGTTATTGTTGGAGTTGGAATTTCTTTTATTGGTGATAGGGGAGCTGATGGAGATGCTATAATTGAAGCTGGCATTTCTGGTTGCGATAAAATTGTTGGAGAAGTCATATATAGTACCGGCATTTCTGGTGTTTCTGCTCTCGGAGACGTGACGGTTGATTCTAGTGACGATATTTCTGACAGAGGTGAAAAACTTATTCCTCGAAGTTTTTCTGTAAGCGCGTTTAATGCAATTCTGATTTTAGGATTATCTAGGTTTAACGACCAGAAAACGCGCGATGCTGTATCTTTGTTTCTCCGTTCCGTCTTGTATAATATCGCGTCAGTTTTTGTTCTTGCTTCGTTGTTATTTATGTACATAGATAATGCTGCTGAAATTGTTTGATGTGGAGTTGAACCTCTGTACAAATCAAAGAAAAACAATTAATAAGATTTAGTCTAAGCTTCTAAAAATTATAAATATAAAAAATGATACATACTTAGGCTTGGCAAATTTATTTTTTACAACTACTTTCACTAAATCTTTTACAGCAATCGGCCGATTCTCTAGAAGTAAAAATGCTTTTAAAATTCCATAAAATAACTCTCTGTGCTGTGATGGACGTGGGACTATTGGCTTAAAATACTCGTTGAACGCTTCTTCAATGATTTGGTGTTTGATGTTTGTAATGCTTGCCGGAGAAGACATCTGGCTTTCTGTGCTTGCCGGGCTGTTCACGCTGGATAAACTTATGGGAGTAGTCGAAGCCGAAATGTTTGGACTTTTCATTCCAGATATTTCTCTTTGATTTTTTGAGGTGAATGCAATTGTTGAACTATCTGAACTCAAAATCCCGTTCGATAATTGTGTTGGTAAATTTTGCATGCTATTTAAACTGGATAAGTTTGCAAAACATTTCATTGTCGTATATTCTTCTTGACTCTTTTGTCCAACGATTTCTTGCGGATTTTCTGAAGTATCCATAATCAATGGACTAACAGCACCCGAAAATCCGTCTGGATTATTGTTGAAATTCAACATTTGTGCTGGTGGATTCTGTAAACCAAGAAACAGCGTCGAAGTGTTTTCCATTATTGGTTGAATTTATTATAGGCGAATATTTTCTTTATCAACATTTATCACGGTAAAAACTCGTGTTCAATATATATTTTGTTTTTGAGCAGAATAATAATTTTTCTAAAATATTATTCCAAATATGGTAATACAGTTTATACTACTGCTTTGATTATAAATCAAGAGTTGATTGATATCAGTGATATAGTGACGTGTCGCAATAGTGTGGGAAATTTTGTCCACGTGATAATGTAATGTTTGTAGTGGCGGGCAAATTAATTTCGAATTTGTTTGTTAGACGAATACTTTATTGTAAAGCTTTCTTCACGGTACAAAGACGTAGATATTGATTTTTTTGCGCAGTAATATACACGTGATTATAAGAATGTAAAATTCCGATCTATAAATAAGTCTAGATTCTGCTAATTTTAAACTTATATTCTCACATAATTTATTAATATATACGTAGTGTAGTAAATATGTGGCTTAATTTTTATTCTTATAATGCTTAATTTACATTCATTTATTATGACAATATACTCTACTTAATTTTTAAAATCACATATCACATACTGTATTTGCTAACGCAGTTAGTTTTTCTTCTAAGTCTTTTATACGCTTTTCTAAAACTTCGGACTTCTTTTTACAGTAGTCACACGCTTTCGTGGAAGATTCTTCTAAAGATTGAGAGTTCGATGAAACCGGAAAATTTGCAGCGGAAAGATACGGTAAAAAGTTGAACGAAGGGGTGGCTGCTGTTGTTTCGTTGACAGGATTATCGTCGGGAATAGTTTCTTGGCTTACAAGATTTTCGTCAGGTTTATTAGATTCAGGAAAAGTATTTAGACCACCCGTAAAACTAAATCGTGCAAAATTTTTGTCAAATTGATTATTCTTATTCGAACTTTCTTCTTGAGAAGAAGGCTCAGATTCTTTGTCAGTATGAGAGAAACACGCAGTTTGCGGTAAAATCTGCCACGAATTTGGATCATGCGCCAAATCATACTGTTCAGCCGTACTCAACCGAGGACTTTCACTAGATTCATCGTCCTGGCTCTTTTTCGGTTGTTTAACTAATTTCTGATCAATGCAGATTTGTTTGTACAAATTTCTCGCCTCAGCAGCGATTCTATCGTATTCTCGACGAACATTTTCCGATTCTCTGGACCAATAATCTTTGGCAATTAACGAAAGTTGTGGTTGTGTGATAACTGGGTGCTCTATTTTTTGGAGCTCTTTACAGAATGCGGTGCGATAGGCAATGAACGAGTTAGGCACTCTTGATGCTTTTCCTGTAATACGTGTTTTTGAAAGAGCGCGGTCGATGAGATCCATTGCTGAGATATCGGGAGGAAAGGAAACTGTGAGTCCATTTATTGGACTGGTTTCTTTGTTACGTGAGTTTATCTTCATTTTTGTGTGTCGTTTTGTTTAATTATTTTGTTAACATACGTAGATAATGATAACGAAAAAAAGCAATGACAACTAGAACACGGATTTTTTTGAATTTTTTCGCCGTTCCTTATATATATATATTCGCTTATGCAAAACTTTTTTGATAAATTTTGATGAAATTTTGCATTTCAAATTAATTAATTCTTAACGGCGACGATAAATTTTTATTCCGCAAGGAAATCCAAAGTTGTGTTCTTTAAATTTATACGTAAATTTATAATGATCTCCTATTTTATTTGTACACATTTGCCACGTGATCTATATTTGCATGTACAAGTATATATACGCCTATTTTTTTTACAAAAATAACATGCATGCAGTTCTAAATGCGGTTTGTGGACCAATTAACTGACAATGATATGTATCAAACAAAAATAGAAATTAGTACAATTTCTTTCAAGTTAGAATATCGATATAGACAAATGTAATAGCTCCATTTTCTCACATTAGTTGGGTAATTATGCGAAGCTAGAATAAAGTAATGATAGTTATAATATATAATATATAATACGTAGTTGAATTTATTATACTATTATGTTATAATATTATATTATATTATAAGTATCAACGTTAACATACCAACAATGAAATTTCCTTTCGAGTCAGATATTGATATTAGTTATGAGCTATTAACACGTAAAATTTTATTTCTAAAAAAAGATAAAATTAATTATTGTCATGATGTATTATTCCAAATTACATGTATATGTATTTTTGAGATCACATTGGTAACACCGACAGTTTTAGTGATTAATGGGAGGTGTGACTAATGAGTTTTTTTTAACGATACGTATTTACATGTACGTACATGTATATAGTATAATGAGGTGAATATGTGTGACTAATGAGAAGTGTGACTAATGAGGGGTTTGGCTATTCACTGATTTAAAATGACGAATATGACGAATATGAATCTAAATACAGTAGTTTAATTTGTAGAATCAATTACATGTATTGCATTTGTATTTTTGGTTATCAGAATTAAAATTGTTTTCTTTAGGAAATTTGCGATTTTATGTACGTAGTATTACAGTTTACAGTGATAATACAGAAATATCATAACATGCAAGCAAAATAAAGTTTCATTTATTTATAGAAAGGCTATTACTATGACAAAAATATCATTAGTGTTAAATAAAAAACTAAACTTCACCTTCATTAGAAACATAATTATTTTTAGAATATAATGGTCATAAGAAATTTCAAGCAAATTAATTATCCAAACTTCCGAAGCAATTGTCAGATATCTCTTCAGAGAATGATTTTTTCTATCTTTTTGTCACACGCTATTAATAACTTTCATTTTATGAATTCTCAAAGCAATTAATTGTCAAACATCTCTTCAGAACGACATCTTTCTCATTTACTTTGTTTGATATTGATTGGTTATCTTTTTTATACGTTATTAATAACTTACCGCTAAGAGAAATCTTTATTTTTGTTTTACATTTAATATAATAATTCACTTTCTATTTTGGCTTGAAATACGTTTTATTATATTAAGTCTCTCTTAGGAAATTGGCTTAGCTAGCTAACTTGAGGTCTTCTACTAAAAATAGTTTATTTTCTAATCGATAATAATGAACAGATATTTATTTTCGGAAAGCATTTTTATCGTTTTATAATTATAACGATAAACTTATCTATGTAGACGCTATGAGATCTAAATCAACATTACTAAATTGGGTTCTATGATAATTTGTGAAACTAGTTACAAATGCTAACGCTAAATATAGTTTCTAGTCTAAATATATTGACAATAGTAAATGCATTATTTTTAGAAAGGGTGACAAGGAGTGGTATCCTATTGGTGTGTATCAATTAAAAATGAGTTTAATGTTCGATTAATTTCTTGTTGAATTTCATAACCATTGTACGTATGTTACAAAAATATAACGTTACACTGAATAATTGACAATTCTCAGCTTACATTTTGTTGATCATCTCGTTTGAATTTGATGATGCGAAAAATAAATCTCATATATACGTAAATCCAACGTGAAACAAATTTCTGACACTGAATTTGCATCGATCATTTTGTGATTAGTTGTTTCAATTGTTGCTTCAAATAACTATTCATGCTATAATTCAGAAAAATAAATAAAGAGAAATTCAATTATTTTGCACAGAGTTGGTGTTGGACTGGTCCAGTATCAAGTTTCAAATTGGACTGTACCTGTGTCCAGTCCAGTCCAGTCTAATGGTGCATTTGGATTGGTTCTTGACGAGTCCAATCTAGTCCAATAACAACCCTGGTTTTGCATATTACCGTAAAACGCAGCATTCATAGGTCAGATTTTTGGTGGAATGTAATGTATTCCTCTTAATTCTTGCAAAATTAAAAATTGATCTATATAATATACCTCTTCTGCACAATGTACCCTCCTGAGTACTTGATGCGGTAATTTTATATTGTATGAATTTTATCCGCATAACAAAGAAATACATGTAACATCAACAAGTTATGTGGAATAATAAAGAAGCCTAACCAACTTATGTTAAACCACTGTTTAATTTGCTAAGCTTATCCCAGCACTAGCATATTCGTATCTCTATTTCAATTGGCACTGACAATTATCACTGATATGCTTTAGCAATTTTTGCTAACTAAATATCAAAATTATTAAGAAATTAAAGCTTGCAAGCTGACTTGTGAACCAATGTACAGATAAACATCCCTAAATGCACCCTCTATAAGTGCACACTCTCTCTCTAAACGCTCAGCATGGCTGGGTTCTAGCTCATAAGAGTTCTATATATTTTGCCCTCTATAAATGCACACCCTCTCTAAATGCACGTTTTACTATGGTTCCAAGATGGAGGGAGGAGATGCATTTAGAAAGGTTTGTCTATATTCAAAATTTTTATCCAATTTTCTACTATTTGTAGTATTATACTGAATAAAAACAAGCAACCAATAAATTTGGTTTTTTTATTTTGTAAAAATGATATAATTACTTATATTAAATATCAAAGTGTATTCGGTTTAAGTTTCAAAATAAAAGAAACTGATTTTTGTATATATTTATTATATATTAGCAATAAAAAATGCAATAGCATTAAAATTTATTAATAAAATATAGATTTTTTTCTTTATATAAAAGTTTAATTTTATTTATTAATATTTTTATACAAAAATACAAATAATAATTAATATTTTAACATATAAAAAATCTCTTTAAGTACAATCTCCTTGAGATTATATTAAAAAAAATAAAATAAATATTTAGAGAAAGTATATATTTATAGAAAGCAAATAATTGGAGATCTTATAAGTTTGGAACCAAGTTATAATATATATTTAGAAAGGATATATATATAATGTATTTAGAAAGATCTTTATAATTAAAAAAATTTTTCAAATTAAATCTAAAAATCTAAAATAATATATAAAGTAAATTAATTACTTTTTTAAAAAAATTCTTTAAATAATGATTCAAAAAATTATTAGAAAAATAAAAATTTGCTCTTTTTCTAGAATATTGTTAATAATATATAATAATAAAGAATTTCTTCACTTTTAGTATTAATAATTATATAAGAATTTAAAAGAAAATGAATTAAATTAAAATAAAATAAAATTAGTAAAAGCAAAGATAAATATCTTATATCTGTACCAATTTCTACAAAAATTGTTAACTAATTTTATATATCAAGAAATAAAGAATTTGAAAGAGTAAAATAATAAAGAAAAATTATATATTCAAATTTTTCTATAATCATATTTCTCTATAGTTATATTATTTTGCTTTCTTATTTATATATAAATATAGTAAAAAAATCTTTTTATAATCACATTTTCTTTATAGTTACCAAATTTTGCTTTTTTAAAAGTGATAACTATAGAGAAGTTTGATTATATTAATTAATAAAATATTAATTATAGAATTATTATGTTTATATTTACTAATATTAAATAAAAATACTAATACTAATCAAAATACTAATAAAATTAATGTACTTATTTAAAATTAAGATACTCAACTATATCAAAATACTAAAAAAATTACTTATTTAAAGTTATAATATATAACTAATTCAAATAATATTAAAAAATAATAAAATCAAATATTAATACTTAATATTTAATAATAAATTTTATTATTTTATAAAATATAATATAATAATTTTAACTTTAATTAACAAGTTTTTAATATTTAATTCCAATTTATTTTAGTCAATTATTTTAAATTAGATTCAAAAAATAAAGAATAAATATAGTATTTAATATAATAATAAATTAGATTATATTTATTAAGATTAAAAAAATATGAGAGATTATGTATTAAGATAGTACTTATATTTATATAAAAATTTCATTTTTTAGCTATAAATATTATTTTTATATAAAATTTGTTAATATAAAATAAGAATATTACTGGATCAAATTAATTTATATTAAAATTTATTATATACTACAAGATAATAAAGAGTATTATATATGTATCAAATGAAAATAGAAAAGAATATAAAAGAGTATATAAAATAAAAAATGATTAAAAAGAGATATTATATAGAATATAAAAAGATCAAAAGAGTATAAAAAGATAAAATAAAGAGTAAAAAGAGATAAAAAAGAATTAAAAGAGATCAAAAAGAGTATAAAAAATATAAAAAAATAAATATTAATATAAATAGATAAAATATAATAATTCAATAAAAATAAAAGATAATTATATAATTATTTATAAATTATTATTGTTTTTCTAATATTTTTAAGATTTTTAATTTTTTACTATTTTTAATATATTCTTTAATTAATGAATTTTTACTAAAATTTATAATATTAAATCTATTTTTAAAAGATTTTGCTCTGCAAAATTTAAATATTCTTTTTATATTCTTTAATTTTAATATTTGTTATTTATTAAATTTTATAAATACTAAAAGAATTTCTTTGTTAATGAATTTGTTTTAAATTTTGTAAGTATTTTGAGTTATAGAATATGATCCATCTT